TATATATCATATAAGGAAATTAATTAAAATAGTTTAAAATTATAAAAATAGTTTCAAGCCACGATGTAAAAAAATGAAGTTTATAAATTAAATCTACAATTACAGAGACCAAATATATAAATTAGTTAATAAGTCGTTCAAAAATATATTATATTATTATAATATTAATGAAATATATAATATATTATATTAATATTTATGATATTTTTATGGCATTATATTAATTTAATATATGTATATATATATTATAAGAAAATTAATTAAAATACCCTATTTTCATGTATTATCTTTTTAGTCATTTCTCTTTTAAAATTACCAAAATAGTTGTTGGTCTGTAATATAAAAAAATGATTTTTCTAAATTAGGTCCACAATTGCAAGAACCAAATATGTAAATTAATTAATAGGTCGTGCAAAAAATTGTCCACATGTGTTTTTCCAAATTTACATATTTGGTTTCTACAATTGCGAACTTGGTTCAAAAACTTGGTATTATATTAATTTAATACTTATGAATACATATCTATACTATATTATAAAGCATTTGACAAAAACTCTTAAAAACCATTTTTTATGCATAAAGTATTGTATATTAATGCATATTACTTAAAATTCAAGATTACAAGTAAATTATGCATAAGTACAACTTATTAAAGTTTCATGTTTGAATTCGCGTAACTAACTGCGGATAAACATAACCACTTAGAGGATAAACATCTCATTTTAAAATATAAAAAATCTAAAATATAATTAGGATAATTATCGAGTTATAACAAAATGAGATGTTTATATTTTAGATTTTTTATATCTAATATATATATATATATATATATATAATATTGTTATATTGCATACAAATAAATATATTGATATAATAGTTATTTAATGTATATTATTGTGTCACATGTAAATAAATATGTCGATATAATATTTTATCAAAATATATAATACCAACATAAGAGTAACGTCTATTATTAAAAGGCAAATTCTATTCATACCCCTTTTCATTAAACCTATTAATTTTTGGGCAAATTGCATGAAAAAGTAACGTACTTTAACTTGATTCCTATTTTGGGTAACGAACTTTCAAAACTTTCATTTTGGTACCTAAGATGTAAAGTTTTAAACATTTAAGTACCCAGGTAACTCGGTGAAGACTAATTTTAGACTAAAAAAAACTAATTTTAGATTTAAAAAAAATCCACATCACTAACCACGTCAGCAAATAATACCGAGTTGGATACCACATCACTCGCCACATCAGCATGATAATCGGTTAATACTTCAGCCAGTTACTCAGGTACTTAAATGTTTAAAACTTTACACCTTAGGTACCAAAATGTAAGTTTTGAAAGTATGTTATCTAAAATAGGAATCAAGTTAAAGTATGTTATTTTTTCATACAATTTGCCCTTAATTTTTCATACTCTTTCCTACACTAAATAATAGTAAAACACAAAAAACAATGTTTTTTATTTTCGTATTTAATCTTTTAAATAATTTTTGTTTTAAACGTTATGCTTTTTTAGTTTATTATTTTTAACCTTATTTAATCAATGTATTCATGTGTATGATTAAAATTTAATTGTTATTTCTATACGTTTAATCGATATTAAATATCGAGTAGTCCATGTAGTTGCATCAACTGTATAGATTGCAATTAAACACCACAAAATTACATATATATGATATAAAATAATACGATTAAATAAAAGAAATTCAATTAGGCTCATTTTCAAGTTATTGACTAAGACGATTATAATGATGTAATTTATAAAAAAAAACGTACTTTTCAATATATTGTAGTTAGTTAATGATTTTTCATGTTAATAAGATAAAGGTATAAAAATAAAAACTAAAAAGTAAGAAATATAACACAAATTAAATAAATAACTATATAGGTATAAAATGTAATTATTAAAAATAACATGTACGTATTTATAATATTTAATAATATGGTTAAATTMAAAAATATTGCACAGTGAACTCATTGTGAAGGTAAATGACGATACGGTTACAATGATATAATTTGTTAAAAAACCACGTATTTTTAATATATTTTAATTAATATATAATTTTATATGTTACTAAGATAAGAGTGTTAAATTGAAAATAATAAAGTAATATATATATATATATATAAAATTAATTAAATAACTATAATTACATAAAAGATAAGTATTAAAAGTGACTTTTTCTATGATATTTAATGAAATCAACAAGTTTAAAAATATTCAATATTAGGTTTAGTTTTTAAAGGTATTGTCAAGACGATGATAATGATGTAACTTTTTAAAAATGAAACATATTTTTTTAACGTATCTTATTCAGACATTGTTTGGAAAAAATAAGTTAGCTTATTTTCTGTGTGCACGTTTGGATAACCATAACCTAACTTATAAGTTAACGTATTGAAACGTTACTCGGAGTAGTGTTTTAAGAGCTTATTGTGACTTTTTCCAATTATAACCSTCATTAATATTAATTATTATTTATTACTATTAATAATAAATAAATATTAATTACTATCAATTATTAATAAATATTAAAAAAA